CATCCTGAGTGAGGTATCCCAGAAGTAGAAAGACACACATGGTATATACTCACTCATAAGTTGATACTAGACATATAATATAAGATAAATATACTAAAATCTTTCTACCTAAGGAAGCTAATCAGGAAGGAGGACTGTGGCTAAGCTGCTCAATCCCCATTCAGAAAGGCAAAGAGAATGGACATTGGAGGAGGGAGAAAACATGGAATAGACAGGAGCCTACCACAGAGGACCTCTGAAAGACTCTACCCTGCAGAGTATTGAGGCAGATGCTGAGACTCATAGCCAAACTTTGGGCAGAGTACAGGGAATCTCATAAAGATGGTCTGGAACCCCTGCACGAAGGTAGCCTATGGCAGTTCAGTGTTCAAGTGACCTCCATAGTAATGGGGACAGGGACTGTCTCTGATATGAACTGATTGGCCTGCTCTTTGATCACCTCCCCCTGAGGGGGAAGCAGCCTTACCAGGGGACAGAAGAAGACAATGCAGCCACTCCTGATGAGACCTGATAGACTAGGATCAGAGGGAAGGGGAGGAGGTCCTCCTTTATCAGTGGACTGGGAGAGGGATGGGTGGAGAAGAGGTCAGTTGGGATTGGGACGAGAGAAGGAGGGAGGTACAGGGGGGATACAAAGTGAATAAGCTGTAATTAATAAAAAGAAAAATAATTAAAAAACCATTGAAGTACTTTTCTGCTTCCCCCCAGGCCTCTGTCTGGTGGACATGTACACTTTCCTTTCACCTACCATCTTTCTCCCCATGGAGGTCCTTGTTTTCTCTTTGAAAATGACTAGAATCCTTTCTGATATTATGTCAGGTCTAGAATCACACTGTTCTTCTCAAGGGGGACTACATATTGATTCAGTGTGTCTCAGAGATGTGGCCTCTGCAGCTCACTCTTTGCTGAAAGGCTATTTTGGAGGCACTGGCAGTCTTCCTCACACATACCTTCAGTCCCCCAGAGCTTGGCCATAGAACAATAGTAAGAGATGGTAGAGTCTGCTAGTATGATCTCAGAAATAATCATGTACTTGGTTCCTTGGGATCCATACAGGAATTCTAAAGAGGAAACTTCAATGTCATTATCTTGTGGATAATAAACTGGAGGCTACAGAAGTTAAAAATGATGGCTCATTCAGGATCACACAGCTATTGCCAAAGGTCCATGTGACACTAGACCTGGTTGTTTATTGTTTAAGGGGGAGAAAGGAGAGACTGGGAGAGAACCTGAGGAAGAAGTGGAGGAAGAAAAGAAAAAAAAAGGGAGGAAATGAGAGAGGGAGAAAATGAGAGGAAGAAAATGAGAGAAAGACGAAAGCAAGAAACGGAGGAAAGGAAAGAAGAGAAAGGGTTAGTATGAGAAAATAGAGAAACCCTTGATTTTAGGTGAATTGTGTAGTGTTAACCTTTCCTCTTACAAACAGTTCCCACTTTTCTCTTTCCTTAGGAAATGTCAGCTTTAGAAATAATTTAACCAAATATTCAGGCTGTTGGAATGGCTCTCCATGTTGCTGCTGTAATATGGCTCACCATTATAGTTAATGAAACATCTTCAGAGTGAGCTCAGTGCTGCATGCACATGGAAAAAATCTAATGTGCTAAGCATACAGAAACATGAACTCAGAAGTCCATATTTTACAAGCAGAAAAGGCAAGCAATTAGTGAGACATTTTTTAGCAAGAAGGGAAAAAAAAATACCTGTGAATCTTGTGTTCCTGAGACATAGTGTCAGATGAGCCCCAGGCTCCACTAAGGGTGTGGTAATGAAGAGGGTGTGCAACCCACAGGGCGGCTCTGTGGAAGGGTGCTTCCTTCTCAGGAGTCAAGGCTAATAAGCCTCATTCCTTGCAGCTACTTGACAAGACAAGAGGATAGGAAAGCAGGGGCATAAGGAAAAGCAGTGTGTGTGGGAGCACAGGAGACAAGAAATGGAGCTGGAGTCCGTTTTAGACAATCTCCTGCAAAAGAGGAGCCTCTCAGAAGACAATACTCCTCATATGTGATAGGACCTCTCCAGCGGGACTGTGGAGGCACATCCACTCCTTAGTCATCCTCCCACTGCCATCCCAGCACTGTCCATGGAACTGACCACACACATTTGTTGTTCCAGATGCTGTAGTAAAATCAACCTCTGCAGTGTGCCTCATTTTTTTCAGTTCCTTACATTAAAGACCAGACCCCAGAGTAGGCTGGGCTGGATCCTGCCTTGCTGCCTAGAGTAACCCCACCAAAGCAACAGCAAAGGACTCGTGAAGACAGGTGTTCCTTAGCGAGTGCCCGTTTTCTTTCCTACATCCCTGTCAGGCTTTATGCTTAAACAGTCATCTCTGCTTCCTTGGCTGTGTTCTTACAAAGTCTCCTGAGAACATGCTTGGTGAGATTCAGTACCTGTCACTCTGGAATAATTGAGTGGGAGAATAAAAAAGCCGATGGCTTAAAAGGGATCAAAACCACAGGAAGTACCAGGGTTTTAATTTATACGTTCAGACCTGCACTGGGTTATTTGTAAGCCAATTGGGGCTCATGAGACTAGAGATTTTGCCACCATGGGTCATAAAAAGACAGTCCAAGGGATTTTAGAGGTGGAATTGCTGTTTTCTTGATGGAAATTGCTCTCTAGAAATATAATTTCAAACAGCAGTAGGAAAGCAGAGCCTGCTGAGACAACCATGGGTCAATCTACATGCCCATGCAAGAAGCTTTGCTGAGTCTACATTAGCTCAGGAGGTGGAAATGCTCCTCAGAGCTGCTATGCAGTGGCAGATTTCAACCCCCAACTTGTCTCTCTGACTTTAAAACAGGATGATATGTTCTCCAGGGCACATAGAGAAATATATGGTGACTTTCTTTTTAAAAAACAGGGTCTTGCTATACTGTCCAAACTACCCTTGAACTCACTCACACTTGTCTCTTTACCCCACCTCTGGCTATGTGCTGGCATTGGCAAGTGCATGTTTATTACTTGGATACAGTGTTGAACAGTGTAATTGGAAATAGGTGTATCAGCTGGTGGTTCCTTAGAGAACAGGAGGTAGATGACAGAGAGAGCCATAGGTAGGTAGATGACAGAGGATTGGAAGAAGGACAGGCAGATGATAGTTGTATAGATAAATAGATGTTTAGGTGATAGATGATTGATAAATGAATAAGTAGATAACAGATATAAGATGGGTAATAGATGATAAATAGCTGAATAGATTGATAAGTGATTGATGAATGATAGATGATAGTTATCCTTCAGTATCCAAGGTATACATATATATGTATATTTAACACACATACAAATGTTTATGTATATGAAATATTTGCATATATGTCTTATGAGCAGTATCAGTTCAAATAGTAGCAGAAGTTGAAAAGTTCCAAGATCTGCTGTCTTGCCGGTAGAGATGATGGTCCAGTGTGTGTCTAAGACTGGGCACCAGGGATGAAGACTCCTGCTCTGCTCATGACCTGTGGACTGCATGGCACTAACTCACACCTAGGACAAGCCCCCTCAGTGTGCTTCAGATGTTGTTCTTTCTGGGTGGCCTTCACAGATCGCCCAGAGTTATTATTTAACCAGGTATCTGGTGCACATAACTTAGTCACATTTACACAGGAATTAACTATCACAGGAGGTGTTCTGGCCTAACAGCAATCTGTAAGCATGCAACAGTGCCCAGGACAGCATCCAACAGAGACTGATCCTGGACAGCAGTGGTATGAAGCGTGAAACACCTTGATTTAGAATATGCCACACTTTCCCTGGCCAACCCCATTGCTCATGCTGTGGTGAGAAGCAGCAATTACTGCTGGAACTTCAGTATTTCCTGTGTCACATGCCCAAGTCTCTCCTTCAGGGGCAGAGCACCTTTATCTGGTGGGACTGTTCCAGTCATCCTGGGTTGAACCACCAGCATGGAGGGTGTTTTTTTTTTAATTTTTAAATTTCATTTTATTTATTTATTGAGTGTGTTCTCTGTGTATATACATGCCATAGCTTGAGTGTCAATGTCAAAGGACAATTTGTAGGAGTTGTTTCTTCTGACATGTGGCTCCTGGGATCAACCTGCTTTTTTGTTGTTGTACTTATTTTTTGTTCTTTTTTAGAACAGAGTTTTCTTTTTCTTCTCTGTGTTTTTTTTTTTTTTTTTTCGGGGCGGGTTGTTTGTTTTTCAAGACAGGTTTCTCTGTGTAGCTTTGGCTGTCCTGGACTCACTTTGTTGACCAGGCTTGCCTCAAACTTACAGAGATCTTCCTGCCTCTGCCTCCCCAAGTGCTGGGATTAGAGGTGTGTGGCACTGCACCCGGCTCAAATGTCTTTATCCACTGAGCAATCTCACCAGCCCAGGTCTCTCATTTCCTGAAGATGGCCAAGACTTCACGTCTGTTAAAATCTAGCCTGGCGTTGATAACTGATGCCACTAATGACTTCTTGCTGCTAAGTAACACTAACAGGTTGCTCAGGTGAAGCCCCATTCATTGTAAAGACACAGGGAAGAGGCAGGATAGCCACACACTTTGCATTTTCACCAGCCTGTATGGAAGGAGGCACATTCAGTTGAATCTTCATTGGAATAAGCACACTTCTGCCTCTGTGATCTGGACCACCAAAGCGTCTTTAATCACAGGAGTAACAGCACGAAGATAAGGCAGCATCTCCCTACTAGGTATGCTCAAACACAAGCCTGCACAGTTCAACCTAGGAATACATGAGGATCAGAACCAAGCCTGCCATCCACACAGACTTCAATGCCATCCCCAAGCAATTAAGGACTTTAAACAGGGAACTAAGACCAATTCTTCATGCACGTTCTGTGTTTGCTCTTTGGTACTTCATGCCTGGTGCAATTCAAAGTCCACCCCGTAGGAGGGAATTAAGTGAAAGCAGAATAAACACGGTGATTTGAAGAGACCTCAGAGGGCAGAACATTATAATTGGACGCAAGCCTGCGGTGAACAGAATCACTGTTGTCAGTCTGCTGCAAATCTCCCCTTAGGTGTATGTCAGACCTGTCAGCCGCCGTCCTCAAAGCTGCCATTGTTCCGGCAGTGAAGGTGCACTGGGCTCGTGGGATCAGACAGGTACCTGCATCAGAAAAGACGGTCAGTTGTTACTTATTGACCTCCTAGCACACCTCCCTGCTTTTATAACCAGTGGAACCCAGTGTTGCGCATAGCTGCCAGGCAGCCCTTCCAGATTCCTGGGAATGAAGACTGGACCAGAGTCCCTGGTGATGCTAAGATTTAAAATGGAAGAAGCATGGAGCTGACACCAGTGAACATCCGTGATGAATGTCCACTTTGAACAAGCTTGTTGGTAGTTAGCACGTTGGCTTTATTGGGGAGTAGGATGTGTTTCTGGAAGGAAGCATGTCCTGACAACTAAGAGCACAGGTTTCATTCCAAGTAAATGTGTTCTAAGTTATGGCTCCACTGCCTGCTGTCTTTGGGACAGTTGCCAGCTTAGTAAAAGGGAGCACAGATAGTGCCTTACGAGACAATGGGCAGTCGACCCCAGGGCACGAAGCAAGGAATGAACTGACAGGGAAGATGGAGACAGCGCTCATGGAGAAAAAACAGTGGCCCAGAAATGTTGGTGTGTTTGTCTCCTTAGCTGCTCAACTTTCAAGTGCTCATCAAATGCTCAGGTCCAAACATCAGTGGTGCTTAATGGCCTTTGAAGCAACAGCCCCCAGTGTCTTCAAGAATGGATGTCATAGCTCTAGAGCATGGCCATGGGTGAGTGCAAGAAGCAGCTCCCTTTCCATGTGGTGCAGGAATACCAAAATTCTGCAAAATGGGCAGTTTATCAATAAGTGAGGCTTGTTTTGTCCCAGTGGACAGCCCATTTACCAGAGACAACACAGATTGCAGCGTCAACTTTAAGTCAATGCACGAGTTTGGGCCCACTCACTCTGAAAAGAAAAATCTCTGTCAAAACATCTTTGTTGTAGACAGCGTGGTACTGCAAACTCCTGCAAGGAGATGCTGTGGATACTGATATTCTGAGCATGGACCAGTCTTCTTGCTCTTGTCTGTAAGGACTGGCCCGAGTCAGAGCTGAGGGCCAATGTATGTGCACATTCACCTGAACATGCATGCATGTCTGGATGTGTGTGTGAGTGTGTGTGTGTGTGTGTGTGTGTGTGTGTGTGTGCCTGGAAGCATGTGTGTATATGAGAGCAAGCCACTAAGTCTTAACTGTTGGTCACTGAAGTAGAACCGACATTCTAGCACAAGAATCTCTCTCTTCCCAGCCGAAATGCAACTTCACTCTGGGCATGGATCTAGCTTTCCTAAACTGGCTGTCCATTACTGCTCTTATCTTCTAAGAGCATCACTGTGTGTTTCACACACAGCATCACTGCCATGGGCTGTGGCAGTGCCTCTCACCCCACTGACTCCAGTGAAAACCTGACACGCCGGTCCCGTGTGGTGGTGGGCTATACTGCAGGAACGAGTGATGGAATCAGCGGGTCAGTGAGGCTGGAGTTTCATACTGATGTCCTGTGGCCAGTGTCAAGGCAGTCATGTAAGGCTTGGGTTGTTACTGAGCTGAAAAGCTGCTCGACTTGAACTTGACTGAAGGGTGCAGAAAGAGACTGAACCACACCTCTGTGTTTCAATACGTAAGGGGGAAGTCGGAAGTTAGGAGTGAACATTTGCAGCTGGGCATGGTGGCACACACCTTTACTCCCAGCACTTGGGGAGGCGGACTCAGGCAGAGCATTGCTGTAATTGAGGCCAGCCCGGCCTACAAAGTGAGTCCAGGACAGCCAAGGCTACACAGAGAAACCCTGCTTTTGAACTCCTCCCCCCCCCAAAAAAAAATAAAGAATGAACAGTTGCATGTTCAGTTTTACCTACATATTCTACTTCTACCTATTGAGGTTTAGCAAATAGTTCAGCCTATGGATTCTGGCTTAGGTAACAGCATAGGAGACAAGAACAAGAGTGTAAGAAGAGGACTCCTGAGGACAGTGTCTGGACATGGCAGGTCCATGGCATTTATCACTATTGCTGTGATGACACACCATGACCAAGAACAAGTTGGAGAGGAAAGGGCTTACTTTGCTCACACGTTCACAACACTGTTAAACACCAAATGAAGTCTGGACAGGACCTCAAGCAGCAGGAACCTGAAGTTCAGAGCTGATGCAGAGGCCATGAAGGAGTGTTGCTTACTGGCTTGCTCATCATGGCTTGTTCTTATAGAACACAGCATCTTAAAAAACCCAGGACCACCAGCCCAGAGTGGCTTCACCCACAATAGGCTGGGCCCTCCCCCATCAATCAATGATTAAGAAAATGCTGTACAGGTTTGCCTGCCTACAGCCTGATATTAGGCAGGCATTTTCTCAACTGAGGCTCTCTCCTCTCCAGTGACTCTAGCTTGTGTCAAGTTGACATAAAACAAGCCAGCATAGCACACATGAACTCACAGGAGCTTTGGAAATGCAGACAAGGCCTGTGTGAGATCATACCAGTCAATAACACAGCGCTGATGGGAGATGGGTGCTAAGTGCCCACTCTGAGCTGAGGACCACTGGCAGTCAGTGACTCCTGGTAGGCTGACCATGCTCCTCTAGTGGACAGACCAGCACCCATACACATATGGCCAGCACTAGATGGATGCTGAGGGTTGTTTAAAAGATCTGAAGTCAGGAGATCCATATGTGCTGGTGTATGGGGGGAGGGGGCCAGAGAACCACAGGGAGAGTGGGGGAGTAAAAATGATCACATTACATTGGATACAGCCCAGAAATTTTCAACGAATAAATTTTAAAAACACATAAACAAAAAACTAAAAGAAGAAAGCTCATGAGGTTGCTGCTGTAGGAAATGAAAGTGCAGCCAGGCTGGAAACAGTCATCAGGCTGGGAAATGGAGGATTGCTGTGAGTTTGGGGCTAGCCTGCGCTATTTAGAGAGAAATTTTCCAAAACAAGCAAATGAAAAAACAAACCTAAATTGTAAAGAAAGTGTAATTCGAGCTGTGTAAAATGCAATTTCTAGGGAAGCACAAAATATGTGTATCTTAGTTGATTCTCACTCCATCCAAATACTTTAATGCTTTCTCCCTGGTACGGAGATGTTCAGGAAAAGCAGACATCTGCATTATTTTGATAGTAAGCCTATACATAATTTTGGGAAATTCTCTGAGTGCTGTTTCATTAAGATGGAGTCTCAGGGGCTGGGGAAGTGCTGGCTACTCTTGATAAAGAGCCAGCTATAAAGCCCAGCATCCACACGGTGCTTCACAGTGTCTGAAACTCCAGTTCCAGGGGATCAGTGCCATCTTCTCTGCTTCATGGCACAAATATGCATTTGGTACATAGATACACATGCAAGCAAGACATAAAATAGAGTGAATAAATATGTAAAAAATTCTTTAAAAATTATTAAAGGTTTGTTTGTTTATTTAAGTTACCTTCTGGGTAAAGAGTAGCATCACGTTGAATGCATCATGGGAAATCTTCCCTACTTGTCTGACCATAGTGTGAGCTTTTCAGGAACCCAACAGTGGTGTAAATAACATGGAGACTTTTACATAGTTTAAAGCCTTTGTCTGGGCCGGTATCCCAGTCACTGTTTAACTTAACCCACGACCTACCATGTGGTTTTCTCTTTACCTCTCTGTCCCTGTCCTTGTCAGTCTGTTCCCTTCTCTGTCTGCTTCCAAATCTCTGGCATTTCCCTTCTTTTCCCTTCCCCTCCTCTGAAGATCCACCTTCCGCTTCCTGTTCAGCTATTGGCTGTCAGCTCTTTATTACAGCCAATCAGCAGGGAGACAATACCATTATATCTCTTTGGTTGCTGAAGGCATTGAGAAACTGTCTTGCCTTCAAGTATCTGAGCACTGATGGGCCATTGAAAGGACAACACCAATATCCTGCCAGCATTTAGCTTTCTGCCTGTACAGTATTCAACAATTGGAAATACAGAGATATAACTTTACACAATGTTAAGGAAAGTCACCCCAACATCTCCCCCTTTTAGTCTGAGAAATAACTTTATCTCCAGCATCAATAAATTATATAGAATAAGAGCCACATTCACATTGTCCAGTGCATTTGTATTTGATAACCTTGGAAAAAACACTCCTCTTCCACTGTTTGGTGAGTGCAAAGTTCTGTCCCTAAATTATTTTCTATCACTATTCAAACTTTCATATCTTCTAACTTTCATAACCTGCATCTATCAACCTCAAAACATCTTCTTAGACCCTAAACACTTTCTTAGATTCTAAACAACGTAAGCTTTTATGTCTTTTAACTTTACAAACTTTATACCTCTTTTGTGAGGGTTTTTTTCTGAATCTAATAATAAGGAAAGTTGTGAAACTATTACTGTCTAGTCTTCAAACTCATCAGAGACCTGAGCCCCACAGATTTTACCCTTGGAAACAGGAAGTGCAGAGCAAGAGCTTCCAAATCTAAGAGATGACAGAGACAGATGGCTGTTTGGATGGTCACTCACACAGCCTGCCTGTACACTCTGTTATTTATGAAAAGATGGGTCACCATGACACCTGGAGCACATTTCCCACTGAAGGACCCTGGGCTGGCTAATTACTTCAAAAGGCTGGTGACACACACTAGAACAGAGCCCTTTCCTGTTTGATTCTGTAGGTGGCCAGAGCTCACTGCATTTCCAGTAAGCAGAGAAATTTCCCCTTTGTTCTTCAGTGGTTTCCAGCGCCTAGGGTGACAGAAGTTGAGGGGAGTAGATATTATAATGTAGGGTCTCTGGGTTCTAAGAGCCACCATTATCAGAAAAGCCAGTTCCTTCTTTTGAAACACAGCTCTAGAAACAAATCTGCCATGTTAAACTGATGTGTTTAGTCCTCCAGGCTTTCAAAGTGGCCATAAAAAAGTAGGCCATTGGACAAATATTTAAACTAATCAATATAGAGCCTCTCCAATGTGAAGTCCAGTAAAGGATATCATGGTCCCATTTCTAAATGATGGTATTCAAAGTTATATGATATTTTTAGTAGGAAATACTAAATATATCAGATTTATCCACATAAATTCTTAATCTCTACAAACACCCTACTACAGCTGATGTTAACGGCTTCTGTAATTCCCTTGGCTTCCAGAGGCCAGCATCAAATTTTAATTATTCCAAAGAGCTGTGTTAATTTGCTATGGAATGTTCCTGTGAGACAGGCTCAGGCAGCTCTCCTGTGCTCCTTGACAGCTGTTTGAAGGAATGGATGGATTGATTTAAACCCTGTTTGCTTGGCTCACAGGGAAGAACTCTCCAAGGGAAACTGGAAGTTTCCCTTTCCGTTCTTCTACCTGCACACAGTGAGGTGAGCTCAGAGGCAGAGAGAGGATCCTGGGCAATGATGGTAAAGGGTTTACAATGCTGGGAGAGGAGAGAATATTTATGTAAAGACTTTGACTTTGTATGTCCTTAAGACTTCATTGCACACTAATTCACATACACAATCTCTCAAACTTGTGTATACTCCCATGCAGGCATATTCTCAAATACATTCTGCTTATGCACAAATTCTTTACCATGAACTTATATATACCCACACTCAATGTGTACACACCCTTGTGCACACCCACACATACATGCACACCATTCTCACATACACTCATATGCACTCAGCTCATGCAGAGTCTGACACACTTCATCAAGCTTGGAGATAATTGTAGAGTCATAAAGACTTCAAGATCAGAGTTAGAGTCTGTATAGTGTTTTTAAATAGTCTATAATTCCTGGTTATTGCAACATACAAAAACTTCTCCCTTGATAGCAACATGCATGAGAGCCGCCTCCGGAGGAGTGAGTTCCCTGATGTCTGCTGCTTACCATATTCGTCAATGGTTGAGTTCTGGGCACTTCTGTTCATTTCCTCCAAAGACAGGTCTGGATTGGAGTGTGCCCCAACACTGGAAGATGAATGGCACACAGCTTTACATGGGGGTCCTGACTCATAAAATATCATACAAAACAGAATTCAGTCACCCAGCACAGATCCCGAGAAATGTCAATGAGATATGCACAGGATTTGGCTTTATACCATCTTGTTTGGGATGCGCTGAGAACAGTTTGAGTGAGCTGGAACTAGATGTGAGTCTTGCCCTCTTCCTTCGAGGTTATGGTTGCCAGCAGTTTAATCTTGGTGGCACACTCTACCTGAGCCTCAGTGTTTGTATTTGTACAATAAGAGAAGACCCTAATATTTTCAGCATCTTGTTTTAAAAATTGGGTATAAACAACAACAATAACAAAAACCCAAAACACTGATTCTAGATGCTGCAGATACTATAATCTTTACTTAATTCAGCTCAGGATGATAATGTCTTAATAGGTCTACATAAATGCAACACTTACCAAGCACTATTATGAAATGGCCACTCCACAGAACTGTGATAGCAGGAGAGGCATGTATACCCAGTCGCTTAATTCTATACTCCTGCAGCTCCATCTTCCCAGGAAAGGGCCTTCAGAGGCTGGCTGTGTGAGCCACCTCACACTTTACACCACACAGCCTGCACATGTAGCTGCTCCTCAGGTATACATTTCCCCAGTGTTTCCTGATCTTCTTCTTTCCCCTAATTTCTACCTCAGTTCGTTTAGGCAGTGACTTCCTTCCCATTTCTTGATCTCAAAGGCGATGTATGGACAACGCTCTCATCCTGCTTGTCGCATTGCACACCGCACAGCTGTGGTCTTAGTTGCATTCATTTAATCTTCATTGTTCTCAGAGCAGCTGCCCTGGGGAGCCCAGAACCACCTTCCGTGGGTCCACAGCAGCTGTCTTTATACCACAAGCTCCCCAGCTACTTTCCTGGCTCTGGTCCCTGGCATCAACCTCAGCCAAAATTACTGGCTTATACTCCAGAGACCTCATTCCAGTCAAGGCTTCTTTAGTTGGGCTCCAAATGCCACCAGATCTTCTCATCTCAATACTGTTAGGGAATTCTCTTTCTCCCCAGACTTTTGCAGCTCTTCTCCTAATTGATCTCTCTGCTTTCATTGCTGTCACTGCCTCATACCTTCTGTCTATCTCGTCCATAGCATTCACTTGAAAATACAAAGCATGTTAAGACATCTGCCAGGTTAAACCTGCCAGTAAGTCACTGGTTCAACCTAGACAAGTTTGCACATGCCTTACTTACCCAGATCCCGCCCCCAACTCTTCATGTTCTCTTTTGCTCTTTACAGCATCCTCTGTCTATCAAGCCCTCTAGGCTCCAGTGTGGAGCCTCCACCTTACAAGTTATCCCTCAAACACTCTTCCTGGAGGACCTAGATCCTGATGTGCTGAATATCTGCCATGCTTTCTCGTCCACTTCTCTCCTGGCCAAAGTAGCCAGTCTTCTGCTGTGGTCACTCCATTCTCAGTGGTCTCAGTTAATATGGAATTTGCTTGTTACCTGCTTGTGTATACACTGACAATTATGTTGTAATGCACAATCAAGCCAAGGATAAATTTGTTGTTCCCTGCTGTGCCCTCAGCCCTCAGAGTCATCTTGGTGCATAAAAGAAGCTCAATCAATAGTTTCAAAGAATTGAATAAACAAATAAATTCGTAAATGATGCATGCCACTCAGTCTGTCCTCCAGTGGGCACATCTGTAACATAAGCCTCAGCTGAGCCTGTCTCTGCTATCCCTACGTCCTGAAGGTTGAAGGGCTGAGCCCTATACCCTGGCTGTATTTGCTTCTTTGGGTCTTAAATCCCACTGTTCTTCACTAGGCCTCCTACCCTAACATCAAAACAACTTCAGCCACAGTAGCTGAACATTCCCAAGTATTCTGTTCCTCATGACTGTGGCTAAGCTGCTCATCCTGCCTGAAGGTGTGTTGACACCTCATTGCCCCTGAGAGGAAGCAGGGTGTGTTATGGCTAGGAATGGGTGTACTGTGCTGGACTACTACAGTTGAATTATGTGCCTTTTGCTTGTTATCCCATGGTGATGACTGACTTAGGCCTAAGTTATCCATATGTACAGTGGAAAGCATAACAACATATGTATTGGAAGGTTTATTATTAGAATTAAAATCCCTGCAGTGCTATGGTTGAGGAAACACTCAGTAAAAATGGCTTCGGTTTAATGTCCTTCTAAGTCAGACTCTTCTGTGAAGACCTCCTTGTCCACACCCTCAGGACTCCACCCTAAGATCATGAGTCTGCACTGATGTAGAAGTACCTCTGTTTGTGTACCGTTGAACTCAGCCACATAGAGGAGAATCAAGATCCTGTTCAATATTGTCGGATTCTCACTGGCATCGTCAGGACCTTACAGTCAACATGAACATGTGTTAAATAAAATCAAGTGCTTCAAAATTGTTCCTTTAGAGAAGTCAAGTTTTTTGAAAGGTAATGTTGGCTCACACTTAACTGCCTTATAAATAAGTGCATCTCTAGCCTTACTTCCTTAAGCTATAAAGAACAATGAAGTTTCTTGGAAAGAGGGAATGATTAAAGAGAGAAAAAATTATTGGTTCAAAGTATGAGACAGTCATCTCAATCGATATTAAGTGGCAAACAGCACACAATTCTAGTTGTAGACTGTTGCTTTATTTTTCAAAATTGGATTTTTTTTCTTTCAGTGTGCATAGTCTTGTTAGGAAGCTAGCTCCCTTGAAACAATGTGTTCTGTGCAGTAGTCTTGGCAACAAGACGATAATGGGGAATAAATACTTTATCACCAAAATGGCTATCTGGTTTCCTATGAATAAAAGCCTATCTTCAGGATGCCCTGGGTATTCGGTGGCTGAATGCAATTCATGCCAGGGAACCTAACCTTCCCCAGAAAATGCCACACACATTGGCACTGGACTCTGTTCTAGGATGACAGACAGATGGAAGCCAAGCACACCCAGGTCAAACAAAAGAAGAAATTAGACCCTGGTGGACGGAGCTAACTTTCACACCCATGCGCGTTTGACCTTCAGCAGTGTTTCATGGATGCTCAGGGTTTAACATGTGTATCAGGACTCAGGCTGAAGTAGTGGCCACAAAGCAAGGCTCGTCGAGTGATGCAGTGTCTACAAAGCCAATGCCCATGACCGTGAGCCCATGGCAGGTAAGGCAAGCACTGGCTGCTTCGAGTTCCATTGGTTTCTGTTTCCCTCTGTATTCTGAGGCGGGGTCTCCGGCAGCCTGGAGATGGGCTCTGACTCATGTGGCTGAGGATGACTATGAATCTGGATCCTTCCGTCTCTGCTTTGCAAGTGTCTGATGGGCATTAATCACCACATCCATTTCATAGTGTTTCAGTCATTATTGAAACTAGGCATCCTTCTTACTCTATATGTATGTATACACTTCTTACATTATATGTATGTATGTGTGTATTGTACGTGTATAGGTATGGGTTATGGGTATGTGTGAGACAAGGAAATCCTATGTGTGTATTTTGTGAGTGTAAGGTAAATTTTTCTCTTAGAAAAAGAAAACAAGATAGTTTTAAAACTGTTGTTTTTAAATAATATGATACAATGTATCTTAGCACTGAGTAGTTTTTCATTTTGAACTAAACAATTCACATGCATTCTGCAACTTCACAGACAGCTATTGTGATTGGCTGAAGTAAATGCAGACAATGATGCCAATGACAAGTACACTATACAAAAATTATTATCAACTGGAGAAGCAAATCAAGATATTCGTAAAGCCAGAGAGCCATGAGTAAAAGAAGAGTGCTGAAGATAGAGGGCATATCAACAGCGCTCACCCCCTCACGTGAGGGCACTACAGACTCCACTGCCTCAGCTACTGGTTAATGGACACCATCATAAGCAATGCCCTCTGTAGATGGGATGAAGCCCCAGGGTTTCTGTATTCCCTTGAAAATACTTAGGTTACTAGAGACCACCAAAGCTGAGTAAGAACAGGAAGTTGCATGGATTTGCTTTTCGCTTAGGATAAAGAGCAAGGAGGCCATCAGGCTGGGACACACATCGGCTTCCAGCAGATGCTGCAAAGATTCTCATGACTCTTTAGCCACTGACAAAGGGAGACCTGTGTCAAAGGACAAGTGACCAGAGGGAGCTGTTAGTGGCTGCATATTCAGAGGTGACGAGGTTCACGTCAGCCCCTATGGGTGACCACCCACCCTTACAGGGTTTGGCTGAGCCTTAGGCATTGTGAATAATTAAACTAGAAGTCTAAAACATTGAGCAGTTTCCGAAGGACACAGGATTGATGAAAGCTGAGGCTGGAGCAGCTGTTGGAGCAAGCTAAAGAAGGTGTCTCTGGATGCCACGGAAGACGGCACCGCTGCTTCCTCTGTCCCTTGTGTTCTCAGAAGGGCTTCAAGGATGGTGTGTACTGAAAGAGCCTGGCACACTAGAAAGTGGAGTGAGAAGCCAACTTCCATTTACTCAGAAGATCTTGATCTTCCCTCTCTGGCTGCTCTGCTCTGCCTCTCACCCAGGGCTGAGCATCTTACACACACACACACAGACACACACACAAACACACACACACACACACACACACACACACACACACACACCATAGCCTACCTTACTGTATGCTGAATGTGCTATTTGTAGCTGTTTGTGTATATAGTCCATTTGATCCATGCCATGTGACTGAAAGTATCTTCTTTCTTGTCTCATTTCTGAGGAAGAACCACACTGCCACCAAGATGAAGCTGAGCAAAGTGTGAGGAAAGGGATTTCACAGAACCCCATCACTGAGGTGACAGACTGGCTGTGTAAGCCTGGCTTCTAGGAGAGTTCTGTAGCTCCCTTTGGGCATATTCATGCTGCAGTGCTTGAAAGCTGCATTGAGGAAGCCCCTAAAACCAACACTGTGGTCTCTCTATTCAGAAAGGTGTTTATTAAGCGGGGTCCAAGAATAAATAAGGAGAATATTGTCTGAACAGAAGGAGAGCCTCCCCTGCCATCTCTCTGGATTTGAGGGATGAGCC